GGGCTGTTAAAGCTCCCGCTGTCCTCTCGTTGTCTCTGCCCCGGGGGCTGTTAAAGCTCCCGCTGTCCTCTCGCTGTCTCTGCCCCGGGGGCTGTTAAAGCTCCCGCTGTCCTCTCGTTGTCTCTGCCCCGGGGGCTGTTAAAGCTCCCGCTGTCCTCTCGTTGTCTCTGCCCCGGGGGCTCGCTGCTCTTGTTTCTGATATTCTGCCACACAACTTCTGTCCTTTTCCATACTTGCTTGAGCACATTTGTGCATGATGGTCTTGGTCTGCTACTTTAAAGACCCCTGAAAGTTTTTTCTTTAATAAATTGGTTGGTCCTTACAGAAATAATTATTTAACAACTTCTGGTGAGCAAAGAAAAACTGCGTTTGATTTTCCAGTGTGGGGCGTGGCTCTGGACGTGGTGATAGCTAGATCTTAAGGGAGTGTGGCTGCAGTTACCTGGGCTTTGGAGCCAAACAGGCATACAGACGGTCACATTACCACATCTGTGGCACTGTCAGTTTTTTTAACGCCACGCCTCCTGCTTACTGCATTCCCAGATGGTTATTCTGACTTGAATATGTTCATTCTGATTTCTGATGATAATGTACTGCGTCTTGCACTGCCCAAGCCCCTGTTACAGCAGTTCAGCTGCTGTCCTCCCTGCTAGTATGATAGTGACGCATAGGCAGGGTAATGTTACACTTGTGCAGGAAATCTGGGTATATTTGTGCGTCCTGTCTGGCTTCCCCACGGCGATTCGGCAAAGTGCGATTTGCACAGGTGTGAATTTGACTGCAGGGTCCTGAGTCTCATTTTCCTGCTGGAAACACACGAGTCCCTCGGGGAGCGGTTATGGGCATCCGGGGGTGGCACAGTGCCATCCCTGTGTATTCTGTATTCTGCCCACTGCCCTGGGCCACAGGCCAGCCCGCCTGCTCAGCGTGCCCCCCCCCCAGCTCATCGGTAGCTTTCTAGTGGAAGCCCTGCAGGGTGGGGGGAGCCAGTGTTTCCCCAGACCACCTTTTGTTTTCAGCACAGGATCTGGAAAAAATCTCCACTGCTGGGGGGGGGGGGTGTTAATGCAGAGATCCTGTACTGGGATGGTTCAGGGAGGGGCCAGGAAAATCCCAGCCATTACACCCAGCGAGGCATGATGGCTCCTGCGGGCCCTTTGCCATTTTAACCGGAACCTTTCCTGCTCCACAGCCTTTGCCTCGTTGGGCTTGTTAACCATCAGAAGTTGCCCGCTAAGGACGGCATTAACGAGCCTAACTAAGCCTTAACGAGCCCTTTGAGAGGATGGCTCCTCAGGCTTGCCGTTCTTCCTGCCACCTGTGAACCGTAGCTGACATGGTGCCGTACAGCTCAGGTTCCTGCAGGCCCTCCTTCCATCTGGGCCCATAATCCCCTCACCACGCTGACTCTGTCCCTTGTTGTTACTCTCTGAAAACTGAGACTATTTTCAGTTTTAATGGGAGCCGGGACCCTTCGGAGCGGGACGGCACTCAATTGGCATCAGCCACAGCCTGCTGCAGCCCCACATTACCCCCTCCTGCTTGTGTGTCTGTTGCCGGTTCAAGCCTCGTTAATTAAAATGTTGAGCCAGGTGTGCTCTGCCCCCCCCTCCCCCACTGGGATTGTTAACAACTCTGTGAATAACACAACAACAGTGCAGAGAGGCGCTGCGTTGGTGCTGAGCGTGTGGGAGCCGCCGTTCGGGCTGCACCAAAGCTGCCGGCACCATGGACCTGAGCGACATCCGTGGTCTGATGCGCAGAACCCAAGCGGTTATCACTGAAAACGGATTTATGATGAAACGCCTGGCCGACGCACAGGTTCCGGCTCCGCAGGTCTTACGGGCTGCTTTGCTGGGTTCCTCTCTTTCCTAGAGTAAAAATGACAGGCAGTGAACTTGGCTTTGCTTGAGCGAAATGCTTGTGCGCCTTACCTCAAATCTGAGTCTGTGTTTGTGTTTGTCCTGCTGTTCTCCTTCACATGTTTGCCATCCATGCTGGAGCACATGAGCTGGCCTGAGGTTTGGGCCACATGCCGATCTGCCCGGATAGGGGTCTGCTGGGGGTGTTACTGCGGTTCTGGGTGGCAGTTGCTCATGAGATTCTGAGTCTGTTGTCACTGTGTGCCTCTGCAGGTGGTGGGCATGATGGAGAGTGCCCTGACAGCTCGGGACAGGGTGGGGGTGCAGGACTTTGTGCTCCTGGAGAACCACACCAGTGAGGCAGCCTTCATGGAGAACCTGCGTAAGAGGTTCAAAGAGAACCTCATCTATGTAAGAGTCACACACAGACGCGTATACACACACACAGACACACACAGACCCAGAACCTCATCTTTTTAAGATACAAACATCCAGAACTTCATCTATATAAGAGACAAGTGGACACACCTATAACCTTAATGTTCAGCATGTTTTTCAGGCTCTGAAATTGACAATAACATGATTATTACATCTTTAGTGGCTGCATGCATGACGGTCTGTGTGCGACACCCTGAAGGTTCCTCCTCGTCGGGCTGCGATCACGCTCATTTTCTCTGCTTTTTCTCGCCGGCCGCTCCCAGACGTACATCGGGTCGGTTCTGGTCTCCGTCAATCCCTACAAGGACCTGGAGATCTACACCAAGCAGCACATGGAGCGCTACCGCGGAGTCAACTTCTACGAGGTCTCCCCGCACATGTGAGTCAGGCCTCCGCACGCCCGGCTCCGCACGCCCGGCTCCGCACGCCCGGCTCCGCACGCCCGGCTCCGCACGCCCGGCTCCGCACGCCCAGGCTCCGCACGCCCGGTTCCGCACGCCCGGCTCGCCGCTTCCCCTGTTTTGCCGTCCGTGTTGTGCGGCTGTTTGTTTTCACGTGGTTGCCAGGTAGCGTGGGAGCCGCTGTGGGATGCACTGGCATTCTGCCCGTTGCTCTCCTATGAGCAGCACATTCCAGGGCTCGGTCCCGGCCGAGGGGGGGCTTGCTGGCCCTGTTTTCCTCTTGGCTGTAGAACACCCATGCCGCCCCCCATTCCCCCCCCTGCCCCGCGTGACCAGCTGATGTAAAGGTGATGAAAATATCCCCTCTTCCCTGCGCTATCCAGCGTCGCGACTCCCACTGACTCGGCAGAACAGCTGTGAAGTTACAATGGAGTCAGTGCTGGTGTCACGCTGAAATCCTTCCCCCGTGAAACGACCAGCATTTTGGCCTCGCTGGCCTTTTCTCGACACCCATACTATGCTGCTCTTAGACGTGTGCGTTTCACACTCTGCTGAGGGACACGTCTCTCCAGGCGGGTAATGCAGAAGGTCTTGTGTTCTTAGTTCCACACTATATTAATACAGGAAATGCCTTATGTATCTATGGCACGAGATGGAGACGAACTGACGTCTGTGATATTTGATCTGGGTGCCTCTAAATTAGGCCGTCCGGCTGCAAGGTAACATAGACAGCTTGTCCTTTTTCTCACCTCTAGCTGCTCGTTGCTTTTCATTCACAGGTTTAGCATGAGAGCTACATCTTATGTGAGTCACATTTCTCTTCAGGAAATGTTTTAATGAATTCAGGCCATTTAACAGCAAAGCCGCACTGTTCAGGAGGGCCAGGCCGTGATTTTGTAATTGTTTCCTCCTAGTAGTGTTCTGTCTGCAGGTTTTGATGTTATTCTCTGTCCACCAAATTACATGTCACAGTGTCTTGCATCATCGTTGTTGTGAAACACTCGACACAAATTCCCCTAACGTGATGTCAGCTTGCTGCTTTGCCCTCTCTGTCAGTTCATGGTCTCCTGTGGCGCAACACTGAACTTCTTCCTCCGTTTCATTAGAGTCAGTGGTGCAACGCTAAAACGCTTCCCCCACTTTCATCACACAGCTATGCCGTGTCTGACAACGCGTACCGCTCCATGCGGACCGAGCGACGGGACCAGTGCATCCTGATCTCGGGCGAGAGTGGGGCCGGCAAGACCGAGGCGTCCAAGAAGATCCTGCAGTACTACGCCGTGACCTGCCCCGCTAGCGATCAAGTGCAGACCGTCAAGGACCGGCTGCTGCAGTCCAACCCCGTGCTGGAGGTGAGCCTGCAAGCGCCGTGATGCCAGCCTGCCGCCCCTCTCCGCCTCGACGGGGGGGGGCGGATCTTTGCTGGATCCGGACTTGCCGCTCTTATGCCGTTTCCACTGCCAGCTGCTAACCCGCCCCCCCCCCTTGACCCAGAGCTGCTCTCCAGCTGTCTCCTCTGAGGGGGGATCACTGTGAACACAGGGCGGGTTTAAGAGCTGAAGGCCAAAAGCCCCTTTTGTGTTGTCTGAAAATGCCCCCCCCATTGCCCCCCTGTGCTCACAGGCTTTTGGAAACGCCAAAACCTTGCGCAATGACAACTCCAGTCGCTTCGGCAAATACATGGACATCCAGTTTGACTTCAGGGTAAGTGTGGTCATTGGTTTGGTTGATTAATTGCTACGCCACCTTCTGGCCAGGCCGTACCTGCATGACGCCCGTTCCCTTTGTGGTTCACTGCCCCCCGCCGCGCCCCTTCCTCTCTTCCTTTCGCTGCCTGCAGGGTGCGCCAGTGGGAGGCCACATCCTGAACTACCTGCTGGAGAAATCCCGTGTGGTACACCAGAGCCACGGCGAGAGGAACTTCCACATTTTCTACCAGCTGATCGAGGGAGGAGATGAAGACCTGCTGAGGAGACTGGGCCTGGAGCGCAACACACAGCAGTACCAGTACTTGGTCAAGGTGAGTGAGGGGCCCCACTGGGCCGCAGGCTGGTGTGCGTGGGGCCCCACAGGGCCGCAGGCCGGTGTGCGCGGGGCCCCATGGGGCCACAGCACTGATACCCCTTAAGTATAGTTACACTGTCTGTAAGTTACACCTAAACCATTCCCTCCTTACAGATCCCCTTCATCTTCACATCCTCTTGGTCTGGTGTTGGTTAATAGATTACTCCCCCCCACTGGGGCCACATCCTCTGCTTAATAAGCGTGCATGTGTGTGGAACAGCGTGCAAACCCTGTCTCTGTGTGCCCGCGTGTGTGTGTGTGCGTGTGCGTGCGTGTGCGTGCGTGTGCGTGTGTGTGTGCGCGCCCGCGTCTGGCCCTGTGGATGTGCTGTAGGTCTGATTCATTCTGGCACTTTGCATCGTCTCCCAGGGAAACTGTTCGAAGGTGAGCTCAATCAACGACCGCAGTGAGTGGAAGGTGGTGAGCAAGGCCCTGACGGTCATCGGCTTCAGCGAGGAGGAGGTGGAGGTCAGCACGCCTGGAAACCTTCACGCACCACTCACCTATTATTTTTCAATCATATTTTAAAAATTAAGCTGATTGGAGGAGCAGCTTGTCAGTCACAGACAGCAGCGAGTCAGTTTCCTGGAGGTCCAGCTGAAATCTGGCCGCCTTAGCAGACTGCTGACACAGCCCAATGGGATGAGGGCATTTCCTGCCCCAGCTCCACGGTTACTGAGCACCCAATCAGACGTAACCACAGCCATTTGTTTTAAAGGAACAGTGGCCAGTCTGTCTGCTGCAGTAATGGGTGGGGGGGCAGTTAGTTTGCTGTTGGGGCAGTAATCTCTTCCCATTTGTCTCTGGGGGGGGCACGATCTGTGCTGCGTAGCCAGACCTGGGAGGCTCTGATACGAAGAACTGGTAAAATAAATATTCCCCCCCAATGTATTGAGTGTAAAATAGAACTTTTATTAACTTGTGCTTATCTGTGCTTTCCTAGTACGTTTGCTTTGGAGCCGTTGGTCTTGGGCTCGCAGATGTTTTCAGCCTATAATTTGAGCAGTAGGGTGTGTCTGAACGACTTCCTGTCCTGTCGACTCCATCCAGGAGCTGCTCAACATTATCGCTAGCGTTCTGCACCTGGGAAACCTCCAGTTTGGCACGGAGGACAGCGGATATGCGTACATCACCACGGATACCCAGATCAAATACCTGGCCCGGGTGAGAGAGGGCCGCAGATGTTCATTCCGTCACTCCCTCCCCCGGAGGCTTCTGCCGCTGCCCTTCGTGTGTCGGTCCCTTAATTGTGCTGATTGTTGCGTTGGCTTTGACGGTTATCACATTATAAATAATTTGCAGTTGGTAGATGTGGAGGGGGCGGCCCTGAAGGAGGCTCTGACACACAAGAAGATCATCGCCAAGGGAGAGGAGGTGAGCGTGGCGGCTCTCTGCTGGGCCCCAGAGTTTCTGGGTTTCTGGGCCATGGCCTTCCGTTGCTGGGAGACCTGCCGGCCCGTAAAGAACGTTCTGGTCGGCTCACAGCTGCCCATGTTGTTCCGTTTCAGCTGATGAGCCCCTTGAACCTGGAGCAGGCAGCGTCGGCCCGGGACGCCCTGGCTAAGGCCATCTATGGCCGCACCTTCTCCTGGCTGGTCAACAAGATCAACCACTCGCTGGCTTTCAAGGTACTGCCTCAGGGCAGAGGGTTTGTCCTGGTGCCGTTTAGCACACTTTCGCTTGGAGGGATCTTAGGCCTTCATCTCTAGGCCAGGCTGGAAAATATGATGCTGTTTTGTTTCGAAAGTGGAAGGCAGGGCTCTGGGACAGGTGCTGGTGCTCCCCCTTGTGGACTGATCAGATCACTGCAGTTTTTAGTGAAACCCTTGTCCTGTATGTGGTTTTTATGTTGCAGGATGAGCAGTTTCCCAGCAGTAAGAATACTTCAGTCATTGGTTTGTTGGACATCTATGGGTTTGAAGTCTTCCAGCAGAACAGGTACCATCGATTTCAGTTCTCCTAGCTTCGTCTACAGCGCCACAGCACCAAAATTCTTTACAAAGGCAGCGTATCACTAGTATATTTTAGTTTAGAGTCATATTTGTTTTCCGCATCTGAATGTCTCCCTAAAGCTGTAGCTCACTGTGTTTCCACTGAAGGACATTGTGTCTGGTGGATATAAGTCTGACTTGATTGACTAATTATACTGTGGGTAGGATTCCTGAGTGGTGGCAAATTCTGACAAATTTCACCAACTTGCTATTTTTCCTACTTCGGTTGCCATTACGTTAAGCTTGGTGTGACTGTGGGTCTTGTATAGCTCTGAAAGTGAGTGTCTTTGTTCTGCACAATTAGCTGGGCCTGGACTGAAACTGAGTTTGCACACTAGAGCCGTAACACTGCGAGTCTTTGTTCTCGGGGCTGTGTGTCCGTGGCCTGGCTCTGACCTGTGTGATGCCCTGCAGTTTCGAGCAGTTCTGCATCAACTACTGCAACGAGAAGCTGCAGCAGCTGTTCATCGAGCTGACGCTCAAATCTGAGCAGGACGAGTACGAGTCGGAGGGCATCACGGTGATTATCTTCGTTACGCTTATTGCCATTATAATTGTTGGTGATGATTAGCAGACGCTTATGCTACAGACCTACAGCTTTGTCCTCTCATGTTACTGGAGATGCCAGTGAGCTTCTCCCTGCAACATGGTTGTCCTGATACACATTAAAGCCCCCACGCTCTTTTTATTTTTTTTTTAGGCAGGGGGTGCGCTGTGTAGTTCTGTGCTGAACCTTTCGAATTTTAGCTAAGGGGAGCAGTTCAGTTCAGCAAGTGGGTTACAACACCTTAGCAGCTAAGCCAGCACGTCCACTTAAGAATAAAAGTGTGAAGATCAGTTTCTCTTAATTGCAGTCTGGGGGACAGAGCGGCATTCCTCCTGGAGGGGGCCTCAGTGTGATCTGCCCTGACTGGATGGGGGGAGATGGGGGGGGGTGGAGTTGGGGGGGTCCACACTGGTCCTTATGATGTCTGCTAGTATAGAGGGTTTTCTCGTGATGTTGATGCATGCCTCAGCTGTGAATCCCCCCCCCCCAATGGGGGGCCTGTATAGAAGCCTGTTCTCCCGAGTGGGTTTGGAACGCCAGGATGCTGGCATCTTCTGCATTCTTGAATTCTTTGGCTTCTTGACTGTTATAAATATCCCATGGAACGAGCAGTTGTTTTCCCAAACCCGTTACGCTATTAACACAAGGCCTGTTTTTTGTTTTAGTGGGAACCGGTCCAGTACTTCAACAACAAGATCATCTGTGATTTGGTCGAAGAGAAGTTTAAAGGCATTATCTCCATTCTGGTGAGGAGCACAGGTCTCCGCTTTCTCTATATGTCCTTCATTTTAAGGTTCTCGCGTATTTAGGTTTTTATTTAGGTATTTAGGCTTTTTCGCTGGGATATTGGAAATCTTTGGATCTCTGTGCCCGGTCTGTGTCCCGTACACTCTTACCATCTCTCTCCCTCTGCGGGCCGGCCCTCCCTGGTCCTGTGCCCGGTCTGTGTCCCGTACACTCTTACCGTCTCTCTCCCTCTGCGGGCCGGCCCTCCCTGCTCCTGTTCCCGGTCTGTGTCCCGCTTACCGTGTCTCTCCATCTGCGGGCCGGCCCTCCCTGCTCCTGTTCCCGGTCTGTGTCCCGCTTACCGTGTCTCTCCATCTGCGGGCCGGCCCTCCCTGCTCCTGTTTCCGGTCTGTGTCCCGCTTACCGTGTCTCTCCGTCTGCGGGCCGGCCCTCCCTGCTCCTGTGCCCGGTATGTGTCCCGCTTACCTTGTCTCTCCCTCTGCGGGCCGGCCCTCCCTGCTCCTGTGCCTGGTCTGTGTCCCGTACACTCTTACCGTCTCTCTCCCTCTGGCCCTCCCTGCTCCTCCAGGATGAAGAGTGTCTCCGACCTGGAGATGCCAGTGACATCACCTTTCTGGAGAAGCTGGAGAGCACATTGGGTGGCCACGCCCACTTTGTCACGTGAGTCGACGCGTCCTGACAACCGCTGCTGATATGGGATTTTTATTAGCTGTGCTGTGCATTTATAATGCTTAATAAAGTTATTAAGAAACTCGGGACATCTTGGCCATACAACCGCAGCTTAATGACATTTCAAAGCAACCATTTGTAGCCTTTTTATACCAAGTTTTCAAACCAGATACTCATTTTCATTTATTGGTCTTTGTATGTCTGTCTGTCTCCCCTGTTTCCTTATTAGCCACAAGCTGGCAGATGGGAAAACACGCAAGGTGATGGGCAGAGAGGAATTCCGGCTGTTACATTACGCTGGGGAGGTCAACTACAATGTCAATGGTAAGAAGGATGGGAGAGACAGGAGCAGCGGTGAGGAGGATGCGGGGGAGAGAGAGAGGAACAGCGGTGAGGAGAAAGGGGGGAGAGAGAGAGGAACAGCGGTGAGGAGAAAGGGGGGAGAGAGAGGAACAGCGGTGAGGAGAAAGGGGGG